AGACCCAAAGTTCAAGCTCTGTCCTAATTTTATTATGAATCGAGTAATGATAAATGAAGAAAAAGTTAATCATCCTATTAGAAAATAAAATGCATCATAGAGTCTTTAAGGCAATTAAATTACAACTTGATAAGCCCATCCAGAAAGGTAGACTTTGAACCATTTGACAAAGATCGTAAACAAAGAATACTGAATTGAGTCAAGTTCTTCTTAGACATTCTGATTTCAGCTAAAGACAAAGAAAAGCCAAAAGAATATAGACACATAATTTCAAAAGGGGAGAGAGAGATAGAGGTTGGGTCGACAATGCTATGCAGTGTACCAAACCCATGTGGTTTGGCAAAATTATTCTCTAGCTTTGAATCTATTTTTCAAAGTTTGACAATTTTTAACAATGTCAGTTTAACGAATACATTTTGTGCAATTTTTGTTCTGTCTTGTGTTAATTGTAGTAGTTTAAAATCATCCATTCAATTGATTTTTTTAATAATTTTAAAATTGATATGAAGTCTACGTTCTTGTTGAAAAAATGTCAGTTAAAATTATTTTTTTTTGAACAAATTTCACTTTACCTCCCTCTGATTAACCCGTTTTGCACATCACCCTTCATATCCTTCTAAAATAGTACATAATCCACTTTTGATTTTTGGACTAAAATGTAAAGTCACGTTTTTCATCCAATTTAATAACACGTGTGAGTCATGCACATGTTCAGCGATTTGGCATAAAAAAACCTAGTAAACTCTCTTTCTCTCTCTTCTAAACCTTTCTCTCTTTCAATCACTCTGACAAAAAAACCTAGCAAACTCTCTATCTCTCACTCTCTTCCAGACCTTTCTTTTCTTACAATCACTCTGCTTCTCTCTCAGCATTTCTGTACAAACCCACACAACCAGACCTCCCTCCCCCCCCCCCCCCCCCCTCTCTATAGACTACTTTGGTCTGGGTCAAAAAAAACAAAGCCCACTACCAAATCATTTGCTTCCCATTTTGTCGAATAAGAAGTTTGGAAAAAAAAAAGGAAGAAACATAGGCGAGTCTGCCGGAGAAGAAGGAAAAGAGGCATTTGTAGTGTTGGACCTAAATCGCAGGAATAGAGTGTGTGCTAACTTGAATTGTAGTATAATCCCAATGTTGGGTTGTTTGATGTATGCCCCACTCTCTCATAAATGTCGGTGGTGTGGTTTTGATTTCTCTCATTACTGTTCCCAATTGGCCTTTCTTCAATCTTCACCAATCAATTGGATGAACCCAACAAGGGTGAAAAGTATCCGAAGCCGCTGTCTGCTAATTCTAATTCAAAGAAGACCACTAAGAAGAAAATGGGTGCCCTGGAGAAGAAGAATGGATAAAGTTGTCGGAGAATAAGGGTGGGGAAGGGTATTAAACTCATTTTAGTCTTGCTACTAATGGAGTTAAGCAATGCATTTTAGTCCAACAGTCAACAGGGTGCAACTCTGGTAGGTTAAACGGGTTGAGATGTCAATCCTAAGTATATAATCTTCAACCTTAATTCTAATTCTAACCCTACCACAACCCAAGTAATACCTAAGTTTAATTTGAGCAGACTCGGATTAAATTCAGATTACTTAATTCGGACTAATTTCGGGTTAAAAATCGAATTGAGCTTGAGTTACGTAATTCAGGTTGATTTTTTGAAGTGTAAATTTGATTTTTTCAAGTAGATCTGATTTTTTCAAGTGATTTGAAATGAAAGGTGATGTGCAGATGAAGAGAAAGGAAGTGAGAAAATGAGAAATGACGAGTGAGAGAAGGTGGTTGATAGTCTGAGACGACTCAAGCGGGTGACGATTGAGAGAGGAGGCTGAGAGATGGAGGAGTGACAAGTGAAAGAGAGATCCGAGAGTGATGGAGGTGCAGGGATCAAGACTTGAAGTGAAGTGAAAGTCTGTAATCTAAATAGTAAAGATAAATACTAACTCTAGTTAAATATATTTATATATATATATGTGTGTGTGTGTATTCAGGTTCAACCTGATTTTAATATTCCGGTTGAACCCAACAATCCAAGATTTTAATCTGAGACTTACCCAAATTCAATTCGGATTGAAATTTTTTGTCTAAACCCAATCTAAGTACTAAAATTTCTAACCCAAGCCTTGTTTTTTTGAAGTTGAATTCAAGTTGAACTCGGTTGGTTCACCCAAGTTGCACCGCTAATAGCTAATAGGGTTATATGCTATTTTTGAACACATAAAAGAGATGTCACAAGAGCTAAAGTGGAGTTTGCCCTTTTTTTTTTTTCAACCAAGACAATATACATTTTCTTTTTTAAAAGATGCAATATATATTTGCTTATAGTTGAAGAATAATGGACACTTTTTGTTCAATAAATGGACATGGTTTAGACAAAATCCCTTTTTGAAATTTGAATGGATGTATTTACTTTACTTTTTCTCTTCGTACAAAATATGGGTCGAATCGGGCCGCTGCGTAAGTGTGCAAGTCTGATGGTCCATACGAGCCCGATTTTGCAACCAGTAGGTTCAAGGGGCATTTTTTTGCCCGTTGACCCAGATGACTGGCCCGATTTAGATCCACAAAATGGCCCGTTGAGTAGGCCATCCACCTGGCCAATTGGCCCATGAAAATTCAATAACTAAATTCATTTTTTTTTTCCAAAAAAATAGGTGACTTTTTAATTTTGAGCTAATGGACATCCACCTAATTTTAAGTTAATTTTGAGCTAATAGCTCATTAGAAATTTAAAACTGACCCGACGGAAAAATTGTAAACTTGGTGGGCTCGACCCGATGCTCACCACGGGTCATTAATTGGCAATCTAGGTAGGTCTAGCTTGGCCCATGGAAGGTGCGCAATGTTAATTTTATCCACACAAGTGCCTAGGGGTAGTGCTTGGGCTGGTTGAGCCTGAGTAGAATAGGCCCAAGTTTTTATCCAAATGAATTATTGGTTGGGCTAAGTCGGGCTTTGAGTAATGGTAGGCTATCCGCAACCCAACTCCCAAACCTATTGGACGGGCCTGCTTGTGGATTTTTTTATATATAATTTTATTTAAAAATTATGAATATTTTTATAAGGATAATTTAAAAGTCGGTACAAATATTTAGACTTATTTGAGTTAAACTATATTAAAGAAACTTATTTGGCCCAAAAAAGTCATTGATTACTTCATTTTTCTTTCTCTCCTTCTCTCTCCATTACTCTTTCACTCTCTCTTCCCTAATTTTATCTCTATCTATTTCTCTCTCTCTTTCTCTCACATTGATAATTTTTTTAAAATATGTAAATATTTAATTTAATTTTTTCATTTCTCTCTTCCCTATTTTTCTCTCACTCCCTGCCCACTTATTTTTTTATTCTCTCCCTTTCTCTCTTTTCTTATATCAAAGTTACAACAATACAATTATATTAATCAGTTACATCAATTAGTTACAATTATTTTATAATACATAAAACAACTGCTCACGTATTCTAATAAACCAAACAATTGCACTAAACAATTATACGAAATTACAATACCAACTCAATTTGTCATTAAGTTATTTATATAAATCAAACAGTTACATCATTTAATATCACAACATGATTACACTAATTATACATACCAAATTTAGTATAATGGTAAAGTTTTTTATGTAATGATAAACCCAATTTGGTGTAACGATGTCCCAAAACTAAATGGTGCAACTATTTAGTTTATGTAAATAATTGAATGACAAATTAAATTGATGTCATAATTTTGTGTAATTGTTTGGTATAACTGTTTGGTTTATTATAACATATGAATAATTGTTTTGTGTATTATTAAAAAATTGTAACTGATTGACGTAACTGATTAGTGTAATTGTATTACTGTAATGTTGATATAAATAGATCGAGAAATAGCGAGAAAATAACGAGAAAGATGAGGAACTGTTTGGTATATTATACAATAATTGTAACTGATTGATGTAATTGTGTTGTTGTAATGTTTATATAAATAGAGAGAGAGAGACAGAGAGAAACAGTTAGAGAAAACAAGGAGAAAGAAAGAGAAAATAGGGTAGATAAATAAAAAAATAAATCAAATCTTTACATATTTGAAAAGAAAATAAACTATAAAAGATAGATAAAAAGAGAAAATAGAAGAGAGATGAGAAAAGTAACAGGTGAGAGAGAGATGAAGAGAAATAGGAGAGAGATAGTGAAAGAGTCTAATGAAATCTTTACATATTTGATTAGATTTATAATTACCAATCAAGATTGCATAATTTAAGAAAAGGTATTTAAGTAACAAAATTTTGATTTCATTTTAATTTTGTACTTAAAGATAACATGTTTTATTAAAATTAAACTTAATAGAGTAAACAATTTATCTATATAATTTTTCTCAAATAAGTTTAAAAAATTATACTCACGGCCAAAAAAATCCTTTTTATAACTTAATATTTGTGTAAATTATATTTTTGAATCAAAAATAGAATCAAAATGAATAAAAATAAAATAATGAATAATTTTATGTTTAATTAAGGAATGAACTACATCCAATAAAATAAATACATTTCAACTAGGTTGACACCTACTCACTTATTTATCATTTATATTATTTTGCCCGTTAAAACTTGTATGCTTGATATATAAAAAATAAAATAATATATTATTTATATTACCTAAATTTTTAAAACTTTAAATTTCGACGTTGGGAGACTTATTTCATAGTTTCAAATTTAATGGTGTAAAAATATAATTTTATTTCAAAGAAAGGGTGGGTGGGCAGGCGGACGGGCTATTGAGCCGAATTTCGGAACGGGTAATAGGTTTGGGGGCAAACTCAAACTCTCTGTTTAAGAATATTAAACTCAGGTTAGAGCGGGCCAACTATCAAATTTATCGGATTTTCGTCTTATTTTTTTCAAGTCAGATAACGAGATCCGTGGATAATCTTCATGTGCCACTTAGTTATTATTATTACCAACCCCCTCGAATTTCTAATAATTATACTACACACCCGTAGCTCTCTGTCTCTCTCTCTCATTTCAACTGTTGTCCAACTCTCCACAGTGCACCAACTTCACCAGTGCCTCGCGGCTCCTCTCAATCCCAATCATCCACATCCGCCAACTCTCGTCCGCGCCCCATTGGCTTGGCTGCATGCGGATCAGCCCTTCCCACCGCTGGCATGCGGCGGAGGCTCCTGGGAGGCTCTTCCTCCGGAGGCTCCAGTGCCCCTCAGCGGAGGTTCTTCCGGTGGTAACATGCTACTTTTCTAAACCGACGACGCCCCTGGCCTCAAGATCAGCCCCACCGTCGTCCTCGTTATGAATGTCTGCTTCATCGGTTTCATCACTGCTCTCCACGTCTTCGGCAAGCTCTAGCCCTACCGATCCGGAGTCGGAGCTTAAAATTCGTTTACGGATCTTGAAACCGGAGCTTTCGTGAGGAAACATGTTTCGGTAATTCCATGAGTAATGAATTTCTAGCTGTTTAAATTTTTTTTCTAGTTTTTAAGACACAAAGCAATAATGAAGGTTGAATTATGAATGGCTTCATAATGATTTGTTCTTATTCATATATGTGATTTTATGCATTTTAATATTCTTTTATTGCTTTGCAATAAGCCTTTTGATTGTTCATGCACGCCAATTCCAGCTTGTTAATTTTAATACTAATGTATAACTTTTGTGGAAATTTGCATAGAAAATTAATGTTTGGACATTTTTCCTTATTGAAATTGAAAGGTTCTGTATAGAGCATCAAATCTATGGAATTACACATTATATATGTATTTTCTGATGATGAATGGGAAGGATCATTTCAAATGGTACATATATGTTGTAATGTGGGTGTTATCATGGTATTAGTTAGATATCTAATCCTTCCACAGTGAAACACCGCATCTCTGTGAAATATGAGACTCCAGTTGATCATAAGAAGTTCCCCTTATGGTGGAACAATAAAGGGTTACTCATGAATCAGAAACTAGGAAAAGGCTGAGATCACATGTCCTACTTGCTCTTTGACGTCGTAGGATTAAGGTTCTAGTTAGAAGCGCCTTCAACAGCTTTGTGGCATTCTAAACCGTTCTTCTTTTTGGGGTTCTTTAGGAACCATTAGGAATCCGACATAAGAGGAAACAACTGCCACCATGGCGGCATGAACTTGATCATTTTCCGCAGGGTGTTGCCTTGTGAGCTATACCTGTTTTGACATGGAAGTTTGCAATCTAGCAATATTGTTTTGTGCAATTATGATTTCTTTTGGTTTTTTGTGCTAATTTTTAAGGTTTTACTCCTGATAAGGTCTTTCAATGACTTATGAATAATGATACTAGGTCATTCTTGGGCCTTGTAAGATTGTAGGCTGATAGTCCAATTAGCCAGAGTAAGCAATTTTTTTGCTTGGATACTCCAATTCTTACAATTTTGGATTGAACATCCCAACATTCGTACGTGATATAGGACCAGAGAGTAGAGGTTAACAGAAAAGGAGTTAGAGATAGAAGAATTTGAAGAAACAACAATGGCATGCTACTGTAGAGTATGATCTTGTATTACAACACTCTCCTTGGTGCCTCAATATGTAAATTATTGTCTTGTGGATCCTCTATTACTTTTTTGATTTGATGTATGGTTTGACTGTGTTAAAAGTATAATGTTCTTTAGACGGACTACGTCAGAATATTTGTTTAAATTGATATTAACCTTGGTATAATTTTTGTTGGGACATTTTGTCATTTGCTTGTTATCGGATGAATTGCATCCTCATGTGGTTTTGCATTAGGAATTTGTGGCTTTTAGTACAAAGAAGCAAACTGTTTTATTGTATATGGTCTTATTTGTGTAGTATAAGCTGCCTCTTGGTCATGATTGACAGATCAAAGATTGTCATAATACACAGAACTGCCTCCTTTCACTTGGGATTTGGATCTCATCTAATAATTTCCCTCCATATCTTTCAATGGTAGATCACCCTACATGTATTGGTATGTCCCATTATGGGCGAACGACAGAAATAAAGAAAAATGTATTGTAAAAGATTTAGATCCCTTGATTTACAACTCAATTTCTTCATATGTGGGCTTGAAGTTCTGTTAGGAAGGGCAGGAATTCGAGGTCTTCAAGCAAGGCTATATCCAATTATTGTACTGCTATTATATGTTGCTTCTATCTGTTTACTTTGGTAACTTTTTTCTAAACCAAGTCCATGGACTTTGCCCCTCACATTTCCAAACTGCTAGTGGGGCTTGAACCCTGCCTATCTCCATTGGAAACCAGGAGTAAAACTAGGCGACCAGGATTAAGGTTTGGGCTGTTGAAGATATGAGCAGTTTGATTTCAGGTTGAGTTCATGTTGATATTGACTCATTGAAGGTGATTTACTTACAAAATGAACAAAATCTGATGAGAATTGAAAGATCGATTTGTAAATGTACCGAATTTGGGTAAGTCAAGATCGACTCAAATACGTTGAAGTATTGTCATGTAGAAGTACTTTTAAGCAAGTGAATAGACCTATTTAAATTATAAAACCACTTCTAATTTGTTTAAATGTAATTTAAACAAATTGTTTCTAACACAATGTCCATTCAAAATATTTCTAATAAGTGAAAAAAAAAATAAGTCATCTCAAACACCCAGACAAATTAAACTGAACTGGTTATTCCCATTGTTACAATCCTCAAACCAAACATATTTACAATCGACATTTTCATAAGAGGATCCAAAATATACATCGTGATTAAGTCGTGACGATCTTATCTTTATTTTGAAGAAATTGATTCTTAGGCCCGAATCTGGAATGTATCATTTGCATGGATGAGGATTCATTGTTGCTCTGTAAATCTGACTCCAATAACTATTAGATTTTAAATTAGAACCTTGCCAAATAACTATATCAACCTCGAAATCTAAACCTGGTATTCCTCTAATATCATTTAATAGACTTTAGATGTGCGAAATTGAAATCTTATTTCTTTATTGCATTATTACTTGCAATACAGAAAACAAGAACATACAAGCAGTAGTTACATAGCTAGCTTATGCATCATATGACACAACAACTAATGATTCATAAGCTAAATGATTCATCATCAACAGTCCGAGGTAGAAAACAAGCACACACAAACATTAATCACATAGGTATAGCTTTTGCCAACTACTACTGACACATAAGCAATGTGATTAATTAGAACTGCGATTAACATGGTGACGCCAAGAATGCTGTGCCTTCTGGGTCTTATTTAAAGCGCACACCACACACACACACACGGACTTTAGCCTCCCGCGTGTTCTACCCAACTGAAAATACCTTGGCTTGCTCTGTTTACCCCAGATATTTCTCCAGGAAAGCAGAATCAGTAAGCTCCTGCAAATTCATGAAGGTAATCAGTGGATTAGCCTTGAAGATGTCTCCTCGAGCCCTGTTTTGATTGTAGAAGCTCATACCATCATTCAACATCATGTTGCGCGGTACAGCATCATCATTTTTGCCATTGTTTGTCGTCTTGGTGGAATGAATCATATCAGTTTTCCCCTTGGATGGGTTGAAGAAGCCCTCAAAAAGGGAATTCGTAAGGTGGTGAGTGGTGTTCATCTTGCCTGAACCATTCCCATAAACTGAACCACCAGAGTTGTTGGTGGCGTTGATGAAACTATTATGAGAGTTTGCGGTGGCGGAGACGGTTTGAATGGGATGAACGTTTTGGCCGGCGAGTAGGGAAGCAAGTAGAGTGCAATCTTTGGGGAAATTGAAATCTGTGAGATTGATGTCTGGGGTAGTTGTAGTGTCGGTGTATGCTGAAGGGAGCTCCTCAATTTGGTGCAGGTATCCAATTCCAACCTGTTTGCTGGGAGTAGTGTTGTATTGCACTTCCCATGCATTCTTTGACATGTTGCCTTTTTGTCGAACCCTGCACAGGACCCAGTCGTCCAACTGTGGCAACAGGAAGCAATTCTTTCCATGAGTCAAGTTTGATAACAAAAGAAATTTTAACTGTTCATTTTTTAAATGCATACTCTAACAGGTTTTTTATATTTTTAATTACTTTCTTTAAATATTATTTTTGATTCTTTTTTGTATTATTATTCTTTTCAACAACTAAATTATGAAACTAGTTCTTCAAAATTTATACCGTAACTAGTTCTCGACAAAAACCTGAAATTGATTTAGTAATAATAACAAGTGTATGAATTCGTGTAAAATATGAATATCCCAATTTTGATACTACAAATATGTATAACTTTTAAAAAATGAAGGAAAATTTTGAATATTTTTATTTATTTTCAAATTTTTGATCCAGTATTCAATGTAGCATCAAAGAATCTTTTACTCATTTTGCAAGTATTTAAACTGATTAAAATTTTAATTTGCATAATAGAGTTGGTCGAAAGAAAAAAGAGCCCTAACTAAGAAATTTTGAATGAGATCTTTTTCAATATATTTTTTCTTTCTTGATGAATTACTTATTATGAATTCAAGTGAAACTCATATATATATAATTAGACTACTCACTCATCAAATCAAAGGTGTATGATTGTCGATAAAAGAAATAAGGAAACAAAAAACTTTTGGATGGAATTTTGATCCATGGGATTTGGATTCCCGCAATACGCTTTCCTTCAATTTTTTCTTAATAAGACCCACTTGAATTTATTTATTGCAAGTAATCTACCTTTACGAAAAATTGATAAAAGTATACTATAAGATATCACACATTAACTATGAATTCTTAACACAAAATTGACTCAAACTCAACAGAATTCTTAAAATAACTTGACGTGAACATAAGATTATTACTTCTTATAAATTGTTAGGTTAATTGCACCGGGGAATCTCAAAATATAAATTTGTTTTATTTTGATTTTTAATATTTTAATCTCTAAAATATTGAATATATTTTTATGTGATATTTCAAGCAGATAATATTTAAATTAATAACAGTTTTTTTATCATAAATCTGTCACATAATACCTAAATAGGGACAAAAAATAATTTGGATAGCTGTTGACGAAAAATGTGTAATATAGATAACCCTTTGACCAAAATTTAGATGGTTTATGATTAAACTGGTGTAATTTAGACAACTCTTTGACCAAAATTTGAGTAAAAATTTGATCAACAATTATTCAAATTATTTTTTTACTCATATTTAAATATTACGTGATAAGATTATAATAAAAAAAAATTATTAATAATCTGGATATCTGTTTAAAAGACTACATAAAAATATATTTAATATTTTAAAAATTAAAATAATATAATTAAAATATTGAGAATCAGAAGAATAAGAGCAATCCCACCCTAATTTCTTCTGAATCGACCGATGGTTTTGGTGTGCCGTTCAAACTGATTGGCAAGTAAGAAAAACGCATCATCACTTCCAATTTCTTCTGAATGGAAGAAAGCAGTTTGCTAATCAAGAAAGATCGGTGACATCTACTTACCCGCATGGATTCTTTTAGTCTTGACTGCCGGCTCGTTGTGCCCGGCAATCGGTACTCATTCATGATCCACTCAGTCTTGACACCTTTCGGAGGTCGACCGGAGTAGAAAACGAGAGCTTTCTTGACCCCTATTCTCTTTGATCCAGAAGAACTGATAATGGGTTTATCAGTTCCGGTGGCCTTCCAATAACCTGAAGCCGCTGTCCTATTAGGCCTCACGCCGTTTGGGTACTTCCTGTCCCTCGGGCTGAAGAAGTACCACTCGTTTTCTCCGAACAAGGCCTTCTCTGCAAGTTTGGAAACAGAGACAAATTAATGAATGAAATGTTGAAAACAAAACTGGGTTTTTGAATGAATTGAACAGTAGATTGTGGGGGACGAACTGGGTAGCTCCCATGGATTGTAGTTGTAAAGCTCGATTTCAGCGATCACGGAGGCTGGCAGTGGACGGGAATTCAGTTTGTTGAGCAAGTAGTGAATAATTAGCTCTTCGTCCGATGGGTGAAATCGAAATCCAGGAGGGAACTCGAAACTGGAAATGGGTTCTGTATCCATGAAAGAAGATAGAGTGCAGGCCAAGTGTTTGAAGAATTGCTGATGAGGTCTGTTGAAATAGCCGTAACTTGGCGAGAATAGTGTCGCGGCAGTATATAAGGCGAAAGTTCAGCGAGATCTTCGGCAGATGTGGACATTGTTAAAGATAATAAACAGGAAGGACCGAGATAATAGAAGGTTAAATAAATGGATTTGAAAGCAACCTGCTTGGCTTTCTCTTGTTGGAATTGACATTCGTCTAGATGCCCCCTGCCCCCTGGGCGCAAGACAAGGTAATTTTTTGTTTCTGCTTTGCTTTTTCCAAACTGCCTTGTAGTTGGCTATGTAGCTCATTTACTATCTTTTTAAGACTGCCATTGAACCAGGCTGTTCATTACTCATCTCTACTCGTCTCTTTAGGGTAGCAAATGAAATAAGTTGTTCTTGAATAGCTCTGAATCGGTTCGGATAAAAGCTGGTTGAACTTCATTCATTTATCAACTGAAACGAGCTCTAACTCAGTTTCAAAGCTCATTCAATAAATAAACCGAACCCAAGTAATGGCTTGTTTGGCTCATTAAGCTCATAAACATATATATGTGTGTGTGATATGTTAATTATATTTTGCATTAATTAGATTGTTTAATATTTATATAATTTAGCATGACCAAGTCTATCTTGATCTTGAACATGGGTCTAAACTCGATTTTTAAATTCAAACATAAACTCTAGATCGGTCTGTGTATTCATACAAGGTGAATTCGAGCTTAGACGAGAATTGGCAAGCGAGCCCAAAACAATCTGGTACTTGGCTCAGTATGGTTCATAAACACCCTTAGTAGCAACTACAATAATAAAACTTGTGGTGGTATTGTTTTCTAATAGCAGCTCACCGTAAAACATAGAGGTGCACATTCATTTTTTATTTTATTTTTTGAAATATTAGCTCTTGATAAGGGTTAGCACTACAGTCAAATTCAAGATAATAATACTTATTCTATGATGATGATGTCTTGTATCATTAGAACGAAATCAACCTGTATTGATGACAAACAATTTGTATAAAACGCGTTGGTCGGCCTGACTGGCCAAGAATATATTTGACGAACTGAATTATCATAATTCTGAAGAAAATTGGAGAGGAAGAGCTTATAGAGATGCTGTTTTCAACTCTATTCCTTTGATGACATAGCTTTGTACGAGCCAAGGTTGATGGAGGGAGCACGTGTCGTCCAGTGAGTGAATAGACATAATAGAGCCAATAAGACAACGGGAATTTACTACAGAAATATTTTCCTGATTTGAACATGTGGTATATATGTCTTTCTTTTTAACGTTTGTGTAATAGTTTGTTCAGAGGTAAGCTAAGTACAACAAAACTTCTTGTCATAAGGGAAGTACATCATATATTATGTTATGTGTGAGTTCTTGTGGATTGCAGTCAACTTTGATTATAAAGCATGTTCTTCGTCGTGTAGATAATCCTAGCTCAGTTTTTTGGTTTTCATTGATGATTATCTCCCATTGCTCCTTAATAATCAGACGTTTTATATTTGCATGATTAACACCGATATTTGTTTCTGCTGAAATTTAACTATTTTTTTTACTTCTTTTTTGGAACATTGTGAATTGCTTGTGATCCACATAGCTTTTATAGACACAGATAGGCATGCAAACCCATGGAAATTATCATTCATATGGTATATGAAATCTAGAAAAAATCATTGACATTTCAGTCTGGAAAATACTGGGCAGATTGTACCTTCTTGTTGGACTACATCCAGATTAAGAAAGGCAATTAATATGAAAACAAGATGCAAACATTTGCTAATAATTTAAAATTGGCCCCACCTTGTTCCAAATTCAAAAACTTAAACAAACAAGAGTCTCAAAAAAAAATACGAACTATCTAGTTTCTTTTTTTTATTTTGATGAACTATCGAGTTTCAGCTTATCGTTTGATTTATTTAGTTAGATAACCTCCACCCAATACCCATTCAACCTAAGCTATAGTCTATCCAATGATATTAAGTCAAAAAACATGTTATCCTCAGAGAAGTTAGGAGGTAGCTGGATGATAGAGCCTCTTCGAACAGTACAAGCCGATACTTCCCATGACTAAATTTGTCAATAAATAAGGACTGCAGATTTAGATTTGATTCTGTTACTAAATAATCTTTTATGTTTGTCTCATTAACCTTGTTGGAATCGAAGTAACCATGGCGTTTTCTGTGGTTAAAAAGATAACGTATCCTAGGAAAGATTTGGTGTATAATGTACAGTTTGATTGAGAAGCTTATCTTATTGTAATGAATGCGACTGAAACTTGGAATGCATAATCAGCCAATAAAACTAGGTCAAGAGTGGATCACAATACATTTTATGAGGAAAATGATATATAGAAAGGTAAAAGTTTGGAAAGATCCCAAAAGTTAAGATCAATTAGATTAGCATGAAAATGTACTATTCATTTCGTGCAGTACACAGCATGAAAATGTACTATTCATTTCATGCAGTACACCTATCACTGGCCTGGAACACTATCGCACATTTTACTATTCATTTATGTTGCTCGAAGAGTACAGCAGAACTCAATTAAAAAAAAACTGATGCATGTATATATATATAAGTAAGGTTATTTTACTGTGAACTTGGGTGCCATGGTTTTGAATTACGATTAAGTTATAGGAGCAGTCTCTCTACATATAGCAATAAGGTTGCGTACATTTAACTTGGTAAGATGCTCGGTTTGCGCCTGTAATTTCCCTCAAAATCATCAGCTAGTGTATATGGTGAAGATGGTACTGCTGGTACCATGAAAAAAGAAGATGGTACTGCAAAGGTTAGATACATTTCCCTCATGAAGAGCCCCCATAGGTAAAGATTGAATTATTGAAGGCAAGCCAAAGGACAGGAGTTCTTTCTGGTAATGGTAGGTGTAGATAAGGATGAGGTGAGAGGGGGCAAAATCAAGGAAATCCCCATATCATGTAGTACTTGGATGGGGATAGGTGGCTAAAATCAGGAAAAAGAGAAGTTGGACGTTACAATAATTTACAAAGGATACAGGTTTTTGGAATTGCAGTTGAATCCTATTATAATTAAATATTCAATGTTACGGTTATACCATGCTATTATTAATGTATAGTATGTGTCAGAACCCAATGCTAAGATGTCATGAATACATGGTATACCTTATATACTTATTAATTATTGGATTATGTATGTAGGTTGTATATAAGACGTGCAATGTGTATTATTTGGATAGCACATGTATGAGAATTTTAGAAAAAGAAGTGAAAATGTCTTAATAAACAATAGATAAGTTCATTCTCTATAAGTTTAAGTATTTACGCAGATTGTGAGTTTTAAAGATGTAAATTAGGCATTTTTGTAAATGGGTCCTCATTTTCCAACAAATAATATCAGAGTCGAAAACACATGAGACAAGGTCCCGGGTTCAACTCCACCCCTTGGATCCTAACAACATATGATGTAGATCGACCTTTTAGGGTTAGGGTATAGATAATGATGCACCTCTCCCTCCCCTTCTTGAAAACAAAAGATGAAATCTCAAAACGTATTTTGGGGTGCAAATTGTTGTGCTAAAAGCCTACCTTAGTTTTACATTTCTGATTATTTTCTTTCTTTTTTTTTACCCAAATATCTAAATAGTCCCGTTTTCTTGAACATGTATATGTATTATCATTGTGTATAGTTTTTTTTTTTTAAATCATATTTGGATATGATTATAAATATTTCTTGGATCAAGTTGGGAGACCATTGTGTTTAGAGTAAGACTGCAAGTAGGGTTGATCATAGATGGTGTCGTGTTGGGTGTATTGTGGCAATTTTTTTTCAATTTAATGTTCCATATAATCGGGTGTATATCGTATATAAATCATATAAAGTCGGGTTTATTCATGTAAATACAAGATCTTATCAACCCTTTTACTTACCGAAAAAGAAAGAGAAACTGCCTTTTTTTTTAATGACGAGGAACTTGTCTAAGGTAGGATTTCATTTGTTGCACCCTTTTAGAATTAACTCTAGATTCCTACAATCATTCACTAACTCGGTTTGACTTAAGAGTCACCACCAAAAAGTCGAACCAAGTCTGTGGGTTTGGGCTTTCCAACAATTGAGTCGCTGTGCGGAAAGGAAAAAGGAGTAGTTATAGGCAGTTAAATCAATCAGTTAGCCAACATAAAAAAGCCTTGTAAATTTTGGTCATAGGTTTGTATGGGTTGGCCTCAAAAAAATTTACTTGTATGGGCTGAAGTTGGGCGTAATTGGGCTTTATTCAATATGAGAACGTATATTTCAATCAAATTGTGTCCCTTTTGGGGCCCAAGTAGGGATTCTTTTTGTGAGTTGCGTTATGCTCTAAATTTCTGCTTTTTTTTTAACAGTTTATTTATGATGAACTAATATAGTCCATCCAAGTGTCCAACTCTTACTACTGCTGGTCTCCATTCAATAATTTGCAGTAGCAAAAAATAAATAATAGACATGCTCATTCGACGATTTCAATCATCGGTCAATCATAATATCATCCATAGGGAAAAATATTGAATTCCATTTTTTTTAATCGGAATCCCGATCATGTTATATATCAACCAAAGAAGTGCAAGTCTTCAGTCTGGTTACGGTATCAGAATATTTTTTTTAATATTGCTCGTTTATTTTTTTTCCAATAAAAATATTTTACATGTAAAAATCAATAGTTTCGAATCGAATTTTTGCGTGGACGGACTCCCATCACCCCTTCTTGGGTGGGCCCATTTGTCAATTGGGACGTATCCTCTATATGGCACCCAACTCAAATGCAGGCTTTGCAGGTGGGTGTGTGTGTGGTGTTTTTTCTAAACTGAGAATGTTATATCTCAAATCAAATCAATATGGCTGGTTGGACCATTGAAATCCACTAATTTCTACTAAATACACAATGCATAGAATGTGGACACATTATTTTGAAAGCATAGTTTTATCATTTTCAGATTTTTTCTCAACCCGAAGAA